GGCCCATTTTTTTCTTTTTACACATTCCTTTTTTTACAGTGCACATACAGACTGCTGTTCATTTTTGTCTAGTGTAACACCCTTTTTGTGTGGATTTGTCCTGGAGATGGTGGCAGGCTGCTGTTTCTGTTCAAACAGAGGCTTAAATCTAAATGATAGAGCAGTGATGTGCTCCTTATGATAAAGTGCAGGCCTGTGAACAGCTGTTCTGTGGGCCTGCTGCTGATTCTCTGTGGGACTTGAAGTAGAGCCAGTTGTGCAGAATTTATTTTATTTTTTATTATTATTATTTTTAAAAGGCCAATTAAGAACCAGTCTCTCACCGGCAAAAGATCATCCCATAAAAACCCCCAGTAAACACTGGTTACCTTCTTCTCCGTACTGGTCGTATATCTCCCGTTTCTTCGGATCACTCAGGACTTCATATGCTTCGGCGATTTCCTTGAATTTCTCCTCGGCGGCTGCAGACTTGTTTTTGTCCGGATGCCATTTCAGCGCCTGTTTTCTGTACGCTTTCTTTATGTCCTCCTCCGTGGCTCCTTTGGAGATGCCCAGCGTTTTGTAGTAATCTTTACCCATTTTTCAGGGTTTTTCTCTTCCCTTAATAAGCTGAGATGGTTGGAGGAGAGCAGCTGGAGACCGGCCTGAGTCTGGACGACGCTTCGCTGGTCGCTGGTTGTCACAGCAGACTGATAAACACCAAGTCTCCGCAGACAGACGCACAGTTCGGGATGAAGACCATTTAGAGGCGGTTAGTCAACGCCGTGGACCTTCTGTTATTTATCCGAGGCTGGATGACCCTCTTTAAATAGCCACAGCTCCCTCCCTGCATCACACCGACCGTCAAGTCACCGTCAGTGCAGCCGACTGCTTCCGGTGTCTGAGGCTGAGCCGCTTTATTCTGACAGACATCCTCCAAAACCAACAGGCTCTGACGTTTTATTTAATAGTCAAAACAAATAGATACACATTCCCACGAAGCAAATAAATATGGCTGGAAAAATAATTCCTGAAGCAAATAATTAAGGGGATAAAAAAAAATGTAATCATGAAAAAGGAATTTTATTTTGAAAAAAAAAGACAGCATATCTTTAACTGCTAAGAACTGTAAGAAATAAATAAATAAAAAGAACATATTACTGTTATTTTAAAGCTCTTCCCTGTTTTGATAAATTGCAAATGATATTTGGTGAAATTATAGGAAAAAATGTGTTCATTTACATGTTAATCATAAAAAATGTCCACATCATCAAAAAAAAAAAAAGTGTTACAGTTACATTCCACAGTTTCTGAACTATTTCACGGTTAAAAAGTTAAAAATAAAATAAAAATACAGGTTGTTTTTTGTAGTGTACATGTTTTTGAACACTTTACTGGGATACATACCTTCCCTGTTTAGCTAATTTGCAGATAAAACCTAGTTTAATCACAGAAGAAATTAATTAATATACACATTAACCGTAAAAATCAAGGGTCAGGGAGAGTTATTAACAAGTTAAATATTAAAAACAGGCCAAAACTGGTAATAGTGTCAAGACCCATAATCTGTACTTTTGTAAATGGTCACGCTTGAAATTACACTATTATTGCTGTATTTAAATCAGCATAATATAATTTTAATTTAAATATATTTTCATTGAATGAAAAAAAGTGCATTGTACAGTTAAAAAAAAAAAAAAAAACAAGTTTACAGATTTGACCTGTTTTGCTAAATTGCAGGTAATCCATCCATCCATTATCTAAGGGCTACACTTAGAGACAGACAACCAAGCACACTCACATTCACACCTACAGACAATTTAGAATCATCAATTAACCTCAACATGTTTATGGACTGTGGGAGAGAACCCACGCTGCACGGGGAGAACATGCAAACTCCACACAGAAAGCTCCCGGGTATCCTCATCGGGACGCGAACCGGCGACCCTCTTGCTGCGAGGTAACAGTACTAACCACTGCGCCACCTTGCAGCCCTAAATTGCAGATAATATGTAGTAAAATCAAACAAAAAACATTAACTAATATGTTCACTGTAGAACAACAACAGTGACAGAAACAGGTCAAAAATGCACAAAATGTCCACATTAAAAAATATTTTTGCAAATATTTGGCGAACCATAAATTTACACTGTTTTCCTGTTTTTAAAATCAGCTCAAAAGATTTTTTAAAAACTAATATTTGCTGTAATTTACAGTCTTTCTCGTGTGTGTGTGCACGCGCGCGCCTGTTTTATTTTTGACCTTTTTATTTGTCTAAATATTTTTTGCACGACCACAAACGTCTTTTATTTTGAAGGCTGGTGTCGGTGTCGGTTGGCCGTAACTTGACACTGTGAGCTTGAGTCCAGCGGCTCTTTCTAGAAGAGCAAATGCTGAGGCTGGTCAGCCACTAAACAGGGCTCCTGACACATCATCCAGGTGAGAGGTGAAAACTGGGCTTCATGACGTCATCACCAAAATATCACCTGGACTCCTCCCACCCCAGGAGCTCCTCCCCCCAAAAACCACAAGATGACAAAACAAAGAACTCCAGAGGTATTTCATGCTTATTGTGAGCTATAAGGTCAATGTAACTCACTTTCCACTTCCATACACTCAATGTTATAACTCTGTTTTTAAAAGGCGATATATATGAAGTTCTTTTTTCCTTCCGCAATACATTCCACATGAACAAACAGCAAAACAACACAAAACCACAAAGCACACATTAAAAAGACTAATAAATCAATCTAAATGTGTTCCTTATGTGACTCTCTTGCTTTGTGTCGTCGTTGAGAATAAACCTCCAGAACATCCAGAGTCCAATGTCACAGCTGGACTCTGCAGAAGTTAAAGTGTGATGACATGTATATTAATAGTAGCTGCTGAAGAGGTCAAGCCTCCAATAAATATATGAATTCAATAAATATAATAAATAATCGTCACTCTGCTTGTCCAGACTACAAAGTAGGCTGATGGGTAATTTTTTCCCCCAAAATACCAAAATTGATCTATGAATCTAAAATATCACAGACACCGTTTCAAATGTCCATAGTTGATGGTAAAAAAGTTTAACCTGTTAAGATCTGGTGTCCACATGCGTAGACATCACATTTTGGGTTATACTACCACAGTAGTAATAATGTTATATATATGTTTTTCCATATGTTTTTATGTTCTTTATACTTTTTTTTTTTCATTCCGCTTTGCTATTTGATCAGAAGAAATAGCAAAGAGAAATAAAAATTGCATATCAAACAAGGGCTCGGATCTTAAGAGGTTAAAGCGAATCAGAGATGGTCAAGCAGAAAGTCTCTGATGATTTAAAAAAACCCCACATATGATGTTTGGCACAGCTGTATGACCATTTGATGACCTTCGTCAGAGGAACAGAACAGTGTTCATGACAGCTTACAAATTCAAAACTTGACAGTAATGCACAGATGTCTTTGTTTAGGATTTGTTCTTTATCTATTTTGTATAAAAGAGCCGAGACACACAGAGGAGTAAAGTACAAACACTGTAAACGGGGACATGCAGATTTGTGAGTCCTGCTTCGATGTAGTTTGTGTATTCCAGCTGTGTGTCGCCTCTTCAGACATCACAGGTGCCTCAAAGTAAAGATCTACACCTCCTCACTCCTCCAGATGCATTTTAGGAACGGAGACGTCCTTCAAGGCGTTAAGGTTGATTTGAGGAGGTTGAGGAGGCTGGAAAGAGCGAAATGTCTCGTTATCACCCGTCATCGTTCTGTTTCTGTCCACAGAACTTCTGCAGGAACTTTCAAAGACAAAGCGAGTCCAGCAAAAGACATTGATGGAAAAATACAACTTGTTGAGCGTTGTATAGACGCTGCTCTTTTCCTTGTGACCTGGTCTGTTGTGGTTCGATGGGCTTTGCAGGCACATTCTCACCCAAAACTGAACTCGTGTTAACAACTGTGTAATTATTCTAGTCACAACATGTTCTGTGTTCACTCGTGTCTATAAAAAAAAGCTGCACTGAGAGAAGCGGCTCTTCTCTTCTGGTGCCTTTGTTGCTGTGAGACTGAACCCAGGGTTATAATAAAATATTGATCTGATTAATCTGAACTGATCTCTTGTAGAGTTTTTCTGACCAACAGTTATTCCTTCTGGGGTCCACAAAGATATTTGATGTGATGAATCTGAAATATTATATGAGATACATGGATATTTGACTTGTGGTAAAAGAAAATATCTGAAAAGCACATCTGTTATGTGAATTTCTTTTTTTTATTATTATTTTTTTTTTACACTAGTACACTGATTCATACATGGACAGTAAAAAACAAATACCTTATATTATAATAACACATATAGCAATGATATATATGTTTGCTTTTTTTCCCCTTTTACATGTCAGATGCTGTTTCACAAACAAAATATGTAGTTTTTTTTGTAAGTATATGCTTTAATTTTGTCTTTAAATGTCAAGGTCTGATGTCTTTTTGTTTTGTTTTTTCTACTGTTTTTAATTTAATGTATTTTTTGTTTTTAATTTAATGTAAGAAAACTAATGGCAACAAAACGAAGGAAGCAGCTGATTGAACATGATTTTAAACCAGAATATATTATATTACACAGCAAAAAATAAAAAGAGACCAGAAAAGCCTGAACATGGAGCATTTTTATGTGTTTCCTGGATCATTCCCATGATGCTCGTCTGCCTAAACACACATTTAACCCGTATTGTGTGTAATTAAAGCATTTGAAAATGAATCCCATAATTAATTCTGTCATTATTACAGCCCACACTGAGTCTGTGTCGGTAGCATAGCTCGTAAACCGGAGGCCACGGTGCTGATGGAAGCTTCTCCCGCAGCCACAGCGCCACCTGCTGCAGCCCTGAGTCACTGTTACTCTGTTTGCTGCTCATAAAAGCTGCATTGGCTCTGAGCTCAGCCAATGAGTCAGCGTCTGTGCAGAGCTGCAGGTCAACGCTGTCTGATGGTAATCAATGCATTCACCCTGTCCCGTGAAAGGCCCTGCAGCAGACAGAGCCAGCTGAGCATTTGCAAAAATTTAATTACTGTCTTCATGAAACATGGATCAGTTTCGTGGTTTATTTACCAAACTGGACCAGAACCAGGATGGATTCATATCGGTGGCGGAGCTGCACGACGAGATGAGGAAGCATGGGATCCTGTCAGCAGATGGGAAGGTCCAGGTAGCATGTCTGGGTTTAATAAGCTCTATGTCTTAGGGAACAACTGTCATTTCATTCATTTTGCACCTGCTAAACAAAGAGCTCCTCTCTGTCTCCTAGAAAATCATTGATTCTTATGACAAAGACAAGGACGGCCTGCTGGATTATGAAGAGTTCCTCAGCTACATGATGGACAGAGAGAAGAAATGGAAAATTTACTTTCACGACCTTGACAAGAACAACTGTGGTGAGTTAGACACTTTTACCACTTAAAAGCTGACATATTTCTCAAGGAAGAAAATGCTGCAAATTTGTTGTTGAATTCATACTATGAACACAATGTAGTGACTTTTTAATGTGCTTTCGAAGCTTGTCACCTCCTTCTTATGTCATTTAAAGACCGTACTGAACATAATTCCTATTTGTGAAGGATTTCCTCTCTGCAAACTAAAACAAATGCTCGTTCTTTGACAGTTAAATGTGTTTTTCAAGGTCAGACGGTAACGGCTGGCACGCAGACAAAAGATCTGTTTATGGTACACAGTGCTGCAGCTCCACACTGACCCTTGCTCTGTTACCGACACCTTTAGCGGCGTCATCATTTGACACTTTGCAGGGCAACAAGAGGACGAGCAGCAGCAGTGTCTGTTTGTAATTCTGTGCATTTCTTCTCTGATCAGGAGTGATTGACCTGGAAGACGTCGTATGTTTGTTTAAGGAGTTAGGAGTGGTCATTTCAAAGCCGAATGCAAAAAAAATTATACAAATGTAAGATTTTTTTGCCCACTACCTACCTGAACACACAGTTTTTGTGCTGCAGTTGTCACACGGGGTTCAAACTAATTTGCATGTGAGGCAGATAGTTTTACGTTTGATATTGGCTTCACTGTGCAGTAACGTGTATTTATGGTGTAATGAGATGATAAGTTCACACTGATTCCTTCATATACGGTGATAAAACACAATGGAAGTAAACTTAAGTCTTGGGTTGCCAGGTCTGAGCACATTCTAAGTCAAAACGCACATATAGCATCCAAGCCAAATCTTTTTTTTTTTGGATTAAATTGCGCAACATTAGAGGGAATGCAGGTGATGGAGCCTGCAGATACAAAAGAGTAAATGGACTTTTTGCCACCCAGAGTGATCCTTCAGTTTGGACTCACTACCTGGCAACCCTGAGTTTATCATATGTCTGGAAGACAAAGGATTAGTATCGCTCTGTCATAAATCAGTTACTTATTATTGATCGATAAAGACTTTACTGATATGTTTAAGTGATCTGAGGGTTATTCCAGCTCAAATCATCAGCGGCCTCCTGTCCGACCATCTCTGATGTGCTTGAAACTTTCTTTATCATAAACTATGGATATAAATGATATGTGTGACATTTTAGTTTAAAACGACAAGTATGCCCTCACAGATACTTTGACCATGAACCCTTTTGAAACACCTTCTCTACCTGCATCCGACTGTCTACCAATGTTGTTGTTTTTGTGGTACAACTTGTCATACCTGTTCAATCAGTTATGAAAGTTCACTTTTGTTTTATTTTGTAATGTTGTGAAATGCAGCTTCGTATGGTTCAGATATTATCACTGGCTGACTTCTGCATTATAAATCTTTTTTGGTTAATTTGTGTTCAAAGACTTTTTATGACAGCTCCATTTTCTTTTTTTCATGTTTCAGTTCACCCATAATCACAAATTATTTGATTTTCTTTAATATCTTTATAAATATTCATATTTTATGCTATAAAAATCCAGGCAAATCAGAGATGATTGGGCAGAAGTTGTTCTGTAAATGTGATGATTTGAGATGGAATGACCCTTATCGGTTTGTCTTGTTGCAAAGAACCACTCAGCTGACCTTTAAGACACAGTTCAATAACTAAATCTATGAGACAACATGCCTAGCTGGTCATCAAGGTTCTTTTTGAAAAGATAAAACAAACCAAATATTTGCTGTTGTTGTTTGCTGACTGCAGGATGGATGAGGACAGCTCCATGACGGTGGACTGGGGCGAATTCCTGCATCACATCATCCTCAACCCCGTGGACAGCATCGGGGAGCTGGTGTCGTCATGGAAACACAGTTTGGTGAGACCACGTGGACCGACCCTGACACTCCATACACAATATTAATATGGTGAATAAAAAAGATAACAGATATAAGAAGGTCTAATCCCTCTGGTTGTCCTGCTGTAGGTGTTTGATGTGGGGGAGAGCCGCGCCATGCCCATCGAGTTCCCTGAAGAGGCGTCTGGCTTCGGTGTCTGGAGGACGTTTGTTCTGGCAGCAGGTCTGGCTGATGCTGTGTCTCGGACTGTGACGGCACCAATAGACCGACTAAAAACCCAGCTTCAGGTCAGCTCCTCCTCTTAACTTCCACCCATTCCATCCATTATCTATACACCGCTTAATCCTCACTAGGGTCATGGGGGGGCTGTAGCCTATCCCAGCTGACTTAAGGTGAAGGCAGGGGACACCCTGGACAGGTCGCCAGTCTCCTATTAACTTAGCTTAGCTTAGCTTAGCTTAACTTAACTTAACTTAACATACTCACTTTTTATTAAATATGCTAATGTTAACATGTTAATTCATGAAATATTTGCTTATATGGGATGCCTAAATGGAAAAATCTTTTATCAGGAGAACTGAGTGCCATCATCCATGTGTGAAGTTTTATTTGAAAGATAATATCCTCTAGTTTCTGAATAATACAGATGTTTAGCATGTGGCTAAAACACAACTTCAAGTACATCTGTTTAAACATGGCTCAGATACATTTTCTACTCCCTTCCACATTTGAATACCAATAACTACAACACACTTTATGCCCAAACTATGCAAATTATACATCAATTGTTGTGCTTTTTTCAGGGTCAATACCAATTATTACTAATCAAGAAGACCAATTTGGTACAATTTGTATGATAGACTTAGCCATATGACATTTTTGATATTTTGATCCATTTTTTAAAGAACTTAAGCCTATACCAAGATGGGTTTTTAAAATTTTTTTTTAAATGACTTGTTTAAATGGAAGCTCATCCTGTTTCACTTGTCTCAGGGTGTGAAGATACTCTGTTATCTGACCTGACCTGCCCTGTTGTACATAATTTATCTTGTCCTGATAATAGAGGGGCGTCGAGTTCATAGTTAAACATCACTGTGAATACACAGTGGTGTGTAGAAAACAACAACGCTTGAAGCAGTTAAAGCAAAGAGAGGATGCCTTCAAGGATAATGAAATGAATATTTTTGGTTTATCAGTGAGCATTATACAATGTGCAGTGAAGAGGAAAACAGTTTGTTGGTACAGTTTATCAAGGTACTTGGCAGGTAGGTTGTTCTAACACCTTAGAGAACTTGTCATAGTTCTTTGGTGGGTTTAGTCTGTCAGTAATGTTGAGATCTAAATACAGTGAGTTCTTCATGTCTTCGGCTGCATGTTTGGGGCCAATTAGATGCCTCTTTGATGGTACTGATGGATCGAAATCAAAAGCTTCCCAAACTTTTAGACAGCCCTCCTGCGACCCTCGTGAGGATTAAGTGATGTGTAGATGATGGATGGATGGAGCTCATAGTGCATGACCTCTGACCTCCCAGGATAGAGCAAGTGAAAAGAGGTTGACAGAAATGTTTGTTGCATGTGTTCCTGCACTGCAAAAATGAAAACAAAAACAAAAACAAACAAAAAACTGCAGAAAAAAAAGGTTAATTGTGCTAGAAGAAAAAAACATTTTTAATAAACAATGTAATACACTAAGGTCCAAAAACAAACAAACAAACAGTGACAATTACAGCAAATATCTGTAAAATAATGATATTTTTAGCTGATTTAAATACACAATAATTTTGTGGTTATGCGCTATGATGTTTATTTATTTTTATAAAACTACATATTTTCAGTAATTTAAGAAAAGGGGGGATCATTAAAAAATGTAAAGAATTATTTACTGTTTTTCAATCTTGAATTACACATTTTTACTTTGATTTAAATCAATTATCACTATCTGTAAAATAGTGATAATTGATTTAAATACAATACAAATATCATAATACGACCATCAAATGTTGAAAAGAAGGAATTGCCATTTGTAAAAGTATGGATTTTTGATGTGGATGTTATTTACAGTTCTTTTACGGTGTAAATTAATATTTTTTTTCCTTTAAAATAACAGCAAATTCTTTAAAAAATACTTTTAAAACTGTTTAAAAAGGCTAATTGCTTTCACATTGTGCATTTAGCCGGACCCTACCAGCAACAACAACTACCTACAACTGGCTAAGAGAGTGATTCCAGCTGCAACGCTTTCCACTCTGCTCCACAGGTTCATGGATCCAAGGCCTTCTCTCAGGGCTTTCAGGAGATGAGGGCTGGTGGTCTGCGCTCCATGTGGCAGGGAAACGCCGTCAACGTGCTGAAAGGAACCCCACAGTCAACACTGCAGTGTCTTATCTACGCCCAGGTGAGCAGCTCAGGCTCTCTAATTTGAATTATTCATAAAAGGTTTCTTGTTTCTAATTGATAAGGGCTGCTCTGCTCCGTCCAGATGAAGGTTTACACCCAGAACAGAACCCAGGAGACTCTGACGGTGCAGCAGCGCTTCGGTTTGGGCTGCGTGTCAGGAGCTGTTGCTCACGCTGCCTTCTACCCTCTAGAGGTATCAGGTCCGAGTGCTCCGACATTCCTGTCCTGTGTTTTAACATGAAGACTGAGCATTGTTAAAGCAGAGTTATTATTGTTAATTCCAAACATCACTGTGTCGTTGTCATATTATTAAGAAGTTTGGCATCATCAGCAGTATTGCACAGAAAAAAAGTTCAAACACTGCAACCCATCAAAATGTACTTGTTGAAAATGTGCTAAACCAATATAGAATAAAAGAGGATTCTTTATTAAATTAAGCAGCAATTTTGTCAGTGCCTTCACAAAATCCGATAAGAAATGTGCAGATATGAAAATGTTTTGTAGAAAAATCACATGTACAAGTAACGTTATTGTTGTAAGGAGTTGATGTTCCAGTTCTAGATAAACACATATCAAAGTAATGGCTTGAAGTTGTGCAAAAAGAACACACATGCAGTTCTATGTACACATATGTAAACATACGTAGGTTCAGTGTATAAATACAAGGTGCACACGAGACAAAGGTGCAAAATGTGTCGATATTTCCACATTGTGTATATGTAAACACATTCATGAGTTGCTGGTTGGCACTAACAAAGAGAATTCTTACAAGATGTTTAGTCTTTTATGTCATTAACAAAAAATAAATCATGAAGCCACATCAGTACTTTGCTACTCAACTCATGAAAGTTAAAAAATACTTCACAAGACAAAAAACAAAGTACTGGTGTTCATATCTCATTTTGAAATGAAGCCCTGCATTTGTGCTTTATATTTAAGAACTATGTTTAACGTATCAGTGGAGGTTTATTTCAGTGGCCTCTGTCTCTTCTTATCCGTCCTGCAGGTGTTGAAGGTGAGGCTGAACCTGCAGCAGGCTGGAACCTATCATGGCGTCGTGGCCTGCGCTCGATCCATCTACAGAAACGAGTCGCTGTCTTCCTTCTACAGAGGATTTAAACCGAGCATCCTCTGCATGATCCCCTACGCAGGAGTGGAGTGTGCAGTTCATCAGGTGAGCCACGACAACACTGGAAAGATCGAGTGAAAACAATGAATGTTTTTAACAGCTGTACCTGTAATTTTTTTTTTAACATTTTATTGTTATTTCACGGATTTTCTGTGTTTTGGTAAATGACACAGCATGACTGGTAAAATCACAGAAACAAAGTATTAATTTACATGTTACCTGTGGGGAATAAAATAATGTCCATGTCAAAAATATGTTCTTTTTTTTTTTACAGTATTTATTTTTTTGTAGCATTTGACTGTAAAATTATACCATTTTTAATTAATTTAAAATAGCATGAAATCATTATTTTACAGATAGTCGCTGTTATTTGAAAGAAATTGATGTATTTTAATTAATGAAAAATGCTTAATATTATGAGCTGTTATTTTACCGATTTCCCCTGTTTTGTTAAGTTGCAAATATTATCTTGTAAAATCCCAGAAAAAAAGTATTAATTAACATGTTGACGGAAAAAACAGGCCCAAAACTATAAATAACATCCACATCAAATGGTGATTTGTTCTTTCACAACATTTGACCGTAAAATAATTCAACTTTTACTGTATTTAAATTTGCAAAAAACTAATAGTTTTATAAACCGTTGCTGTTTTGGGGGATAAAATGATGTATATCAATGATGGAAAATGGTAAATAATATTTTAAGTGTAATTTTACAGATTTTCCATCATTTGTTAGGTTACAGGTAGTAAAATCAATTGTATTTATTTTTTATTAATCTACATGTTGACAGCAAAAACAAGGAAACAAAAATAAGGCAGACTTTTGGCTGCTGCTTTAGCTCACCTGGTTGAGCTGGTGACCCATGCTCACGAGCTACTGTCACCGATGCAGTGGTTGTGGGTTTGAATCCCGCTCATGGCCCTTTGCTGCATCCCCTTCCCCCCATTCTTCTCCCCCACTTCTCATCTCTGCTTTGACTGTCCTAAGTAATAAAGGCAAAAAGGCCAAAAAATAACTTTTTAAAAAAAAGGCAGAACTGTAAATAATGTCTGTATCAAAAATCTGTATTTTTACAAGCAGTAATTAATTGTTTTTACATAACATCACTGTTCACATTGTATTAAAATCTGCTATAAACATCATAATTTGATTGATATTTACCGTTACATTACTGCTACTGTTATTACATTTTTGTTGTATTGTTTTTTGTTTGGTTTTGTTTAGTTTTTTTACAGTTACACTCTTATTTTGAAACATACCAATTTGCTCCTCATTGCAGTCCATCATGTCCTGGGCAAAGCGTGATCCCACCTACAACAGCGACTCCAGCCTGTTCTTCTTCAGCTTTGTGGCCTTCGCCTCTGGACAGATGACCAGTTATCCACTGGCGGTGATTCGAACGCAGCAGCAAGCGCAGGGTAACATCTATCATTTCTCTGACACATTAGAAATGATTTTAGGCACTTTGAGATGATCTGATGCTCACTTTTTGGTTTGTTTTCCAGCTTTCATTCCAGATTCCCGCCGAGCTTCAGGTGCGTTAGCAGGACTCACTGGGATATATGAGAGAGGAGGATTGCGAGGATATTATAACGGCATGGGAGCGAGCTTCGTCAGGGCTATTCCATGTGCTTTGATAAACTACACTCTGACTAGGAAGTTTGAAAATGTGTTTTCTTCCATCGAATCTTGATGAATGTGGAGAACAATACAAAGCTGTGACTGTTATTAATGTTAACTGACTGTCCAAAAGTAACAGGAATTCTAAAAAAAACAACTAAAAAGGGGGGCTGACATTCATAAAGTAAATCATAATGCTCAACGTAAGTCTGCGGGATTGCTTTTTAATTATTATTTTAGTCAGTGGTTTTTCTACTGACCAGGAAAACATGAAACTAACACTGATGCACCATTGACTGAAAAATACTGAATAATGTGAACAAGTGTAATGATTACCAACTTGGGATTTGCTGTGTAAATATGGATATGAGCTGTCATGTGTGCTGTACAATAAAATTTTATTTCTTAATTGGGATCAGCTTCCATTCATCATTAACAGTGTTGAGGCTTTGACGTGACTTATGACAGATGTGCTATTAAATTGGTGTTTATTAACCATTAATTTCAAATCAAGGCAGTCATTTGACATAAAATATTATAGACGTTGCTCGTTATCACGGCCACGCTTCATAGCAGCTGAATCACAACATTACAAGACAACAGGAAGTACAATTCTAGATTTGTAACACTAATTGTTATGACTAACATTATAAAACACTAAAATAAAGTACAGCCTCAAGCATGTAAAAAAATGGAATTAATTCATGAACTGGATAATGATCAAAACATTACAAATAATGCTTTACAATTGTTTGTGTTGTTCTCTTAGTAAACTTCTTTTCATTTTTATTCATTTTTTTCTTACTATTATTTGTATACTTCATTTGTTACATGCTTTATTTTTGTCATGTACTTTTTTTTATGACTGATTTCACTTTTAAATTGTATTAATGAAAAAAAAAAGTAATTTACATTTACATATCGACAGGAAACACACAAACAAACAAACAGGCCGAAATTGTAAATATACCTTCATGGTAATTTGTTCGTTTCTAATATTTGACCAAAAAATTACACAATTTTACTATATTTAAAACAGCAAAAAATCTAATAGTTTTATGTATATTTAACGTGTTTTCAAAGAAAATTATATATATTAAGAAAAATCTGTATTTGATTTCCCTGTTTTGTTGAATAACAGAACTTTTTTAACTCATTGCAATTTTTCCTTATCGTAATTTTTTCTTTTAATTTTGATCGCATGTTTTAGTGGTTAATTTTTGTATTTGTTTTTTTACATTTTCTTATAAAGCACTGAATAACCTATGTGCATGATATGATGCTATTAAAACACTTTGCCTTTGCCTGCTGCTGACGTTATCGCGAGATAAAGATGTGATCGCGATATTTTCCGTCCAAATCCCGTGAATGAAGCCCGCCATCTTGTAGCGCGAGTAGGAGAAGAGAGCAGCAGCAGATATGGCAGACTACAGCAGCGTGGCTCCTCCGTCCTCTAACGCCGGTGGCGGCATGAACGACGCTTTCAAAGACGCTCTACAGCGAGCACGACAGGTAACAACATCGTCAAAACATTTAATTAAAAAAATATTCCGCGGCCGGACAGCAGAGAGCGAGTTTGGGTGCTTTCTGCGGTCACCAACGAGATCACGGCAGGCTAGGCTAAGCTAACGAACGATGACTAACCATACGCCACACTTCAAAACGGAAAACAGATGTGAGCACAGATGCGACTACAGCTGCGTGTTCAGACTAAATTTACCAAATATATAACAGTAACCACAAATATAGGCGTTATGGGGTGTAGTGAGTCCAACCTACCCCTCGATGTGAAGCTTTCCTTTGTTGCTGCAGACTTCCGCACAAAAGTGTAGGCCGCAAGCAGCGTGTCTCCTCAGACGCACCTACACGAAAACTGCAAATAAATCACCTCAACTGTTGTTTTTCTTCTTTGTTTTGTTGTACAGATCGCAGCGAAGATCGGTGGCGATGGCGTAGCGGCACCCCCTACAAACGAATTCGGCTATGGAGGTCAGAAAAGGCCCCTGGAGGACGCTGGTGGGTATTTTCCCATGCCTAACCTGAATATCGGTCAGTGGCTCAAATCGATTTCAATGCAAGTCTTGTTAGTTAAATGCTTGCCTGCGTGTTTTAGCAGCTACTAAAATGTATTCGCCTGTGTAGACGTGTTATTAACTCAGCATCTCTCTACAGTACTGTTGTCTTCATATCAATGTGCATTTTCACCAATAAGTCTTAACACTCTGTTCATTACTACTAACCATAGGAGCAGTTCACAATGTTGTAGACTTTATGCAATTTGTTGGTTATGGCATGTGTTTATGGTTGATGATAATTCACTGTTTGTCTTCACAGCTGTTTGAAATCAGTGTATATGTATTAATATTTGGATCTGAACTGACCAGTTAGCGTAGTTACAGAAGACAGAAAAACAACAAGAAAAAGCAAAAATTCGTGAAAAACTACCAGAATGTCCATATACAAAACCCAGATATTCATAGCCATATTGCTCCAAAGTCATAGTTGTAGAGTTACATCTCAAGCTATGCTAATAATGGGCTCCACACCGTTTGAAATCTTTGTTATAGTGAATCTGTTCCATTTTGGCAATGGGGAGAATGTTGTTGAGACTTCAGGTGTTTTTTGTTCTATTTATTTTAAGATGTAATAATGTTTGAGTTACGCCTTATTGGGGAAAAAATGCCCCTTGAAAACTAGCTAAATATGCACCACCAGAATTTTGTATTGTGCTATAAAACCAGGTTGAACATGTTGGTTTTCCCAATGCTAAACCAGTCAACTGTGGAGAATTTGAGTGAAATTAAAAGCATTATACATGATATTTTTGTTAGTTACACACAGGTAATAGTAATAAACTCTGATACAACACTCCTGCTATAAATCCTGCCTCAATTAAGGTTGTGATGTTAATTTTTTTTTGCTTAAACTGTCTGAGATGTGCTGATTTATTACTGAATTTATTATGACTTTAGAAGTTCTAGTCTATCTGTGTTGCACAAAACTGAAGATTTTTTTGCCTCCAAAGCTGAATCAGCAACTGTCCTAAGCAGTTTGAACAAAAAAAACAAACATTATAACCCTTTGTGAGGTGGGACTTCCTCCAGGGCTGTTTTATTGAGAGTATTGTCTATCCCTTTATGTGTAGATGCTTCTGTAATTGTTTTTTATTTCAGGCTATGTTTAAAAACCAATTTCACATGTGTGAAACCACCAGTAATCAAGTGATAGTTTTGGCATAATGAAAGATTCTGATGATTTTTTGTTGTTGTTGTGTTGTTGCAGACCAACCAGAGACGAAGAAAGTGGCTACAAATGATGGTAAGTGACCCGATGACACTGCTGTAGTTAGTTGTGTTTGTGTAAATCTGCATTTAATTATTAACTTGAAAGAATAAATATTTGTACTTATTGATATGGATACTTTTCCTCTAATGTGCTGTGGTGTGTTTTTTCAGCCTTTTCAGCAATTGGAGGCATGGGAGGCCCCCCAAGGTAGATAAAGTTGCAGCTTTGCTTGCTTTTCCTTACCTACACCTACGCCTTATTGTATTATTCAGTTCATAGGTATAATGTGTAAAGTTTCTTCTTTTCATTATCAGGTCAACATCAGAAGAATTCAAAGTTCCAGATGGAATGGTTGGATTCAGTAAGTTTTTTTTGTTTTGTTTTTTTTATGGAAAACAAGCAATGAAAACATAATTTCTATGTTGTTACTGTTACTGACAATTTTCTTTTTTTTTTTATTTTCTTCAGTTATTGGAAGAGGAGGCGAGCAGATATCACGTCTTCAGCAGGAGTCTGGGTGTAAAATACAGATTGCTCCTGGTAGGTTTGGATCTGTTGGTGATGTAACAACGGCTAGTTTTTGTTGTTGTTCGAGGGTTTTTGTATTGACAGCCCATTTTCTGTGTTGTAGACAGCGGAGGGATGCCAGATAGGTCAGTCACATTAACGGGACCACCAGAATCAATCCAGTAAGTGCCAACCTGTTTCCAGTTAAAGTAGAACATCTCATGAGTCACTGCTTCAGTTGGTTCCTTGTCAGTGTTTGCAGATGATGTATGATGACAATTTTTCTCCCATCAGGACTGCAAAGCGGCTACTAACAGAAATCGTCGAGAAGGGACGTCCAGCCCCAGCGTTCCACCACAACGACGGCCCGGGAATGACTGTCCAGGAGATTATGGTCCCTGCTTCTAAAGCCGGCCTTGTCATTGGAAAGGGAGGAGAAACCATCAAAAGCCTTCAGGTGAGTGTTCAGTCAAAGTGAGAGACAAAAATGGAGGGACAGTAGGGTGATGTAGTGAGTAGAGCCGCAACAATTATTTGATTATAAGGTAAAAGCAGTTGACAGATTAAGACGACATTGATCAAATTAACAGAGAGACGATCATTTGGATTCCGTTTAAAATGTGTACGGTCTATGATGAAAACTCATGCACCACGCTGAGAAGCTGATGGATAAACCCAACCCTAAATTATCTGAGACCTGAACACACACAAATAAGAGACGAGTGCGTTTGTTTTTGAGACTGAAGCACACTGATGGTTTCGATTTCTCTGGATTTGCAGGAACGAGCTGGAGTGAAGATGGTCATGATCCAGGACGGACCCCAAAACACAGGCGCAGACAAGCCACTCCGCATTTCAGGAGAACCCTTTAAAGTTCAGGTGGGGTTTTTTGTTTGTGCATTTCAAACATTAGAATCAGGATATGATCTTAAGTGATCTAAACCACTTGCTTAATTGTCTGTGTGGAGGCTGCTTATATCGAGCTGTAATGATAACGTGATTTCTTTTCTCTTCAGCAAGCCAAAGAGATGGTGATGGAGCTGATCAGAGACCAGGGCTTCAGGGAGCAGAGAGGCGAGTACGGTTCAAGGATCGGAGGAGGAGACAGCTTAGATGTGAGTATTTATTTTTTCCATTTTATTTCATTTTAAAATCCGTTCAGAAATGAGGGTTTAAAAACATGCCTTACATTTGTCTTTCTATTCTTTTGCCGATCAGGTTCCCGTCCCACGGTTTGCAGTAGGCATCGTCATTGGGAGAAACGGTGAAATGATAAAGAAAATACAGAATGACACCGGCGTCAGGATTCAGTTCAAACCAGGTGAGCGATGAACGTGGCATCAATACAATTCACAAAGAAGTGGCCAAAAATACATTGATTTAGACTTAGTTGAAAATGTGTACGGTCTGTGATGAAAACTCATGCACCACGCTGACAAACTGATGGATAACCCCAACCCTAAACTATCTGAGACCTGAACACACACAACTAAGAGGCTGTTTTAGTTTGACCATATTATAGAAAATAGTACATTTGTTCTGTGTAATAACAACAGAGGCTGAAATTGGAGTAACACTGTCTCAGTAGTGTCTAATCCCCCTGTTTCCTCCCTCCAGATGACGGCAGCACACCAGACAGGATAGCACAGATCATGGGTCCCCCTGATCAGGCTCAGCATGCAGCAGAGATCATCTCCGACCTGCTGAGGAGCGTCCAGGCTGGAGGACCTCCAGGACACGGGGGCGGCAGGGGACGTGGCCGCGGACAAGGCAACTGGAACATGGGACCCCCCGGTGGCCTGCAAGAGTTTACTTTCACGGTCCCAACAATGAAAACCGGCCTGATCATTGGTAAAGGCAAGTAGCTCCTTAGCTGCTGTGCTCCACTTTGGATTTATGAGTAAGAAAATCAAGTTCAGTTAGAAGAACCAGACATAACTAGTTTTGTCAGGTGCATTATTGTCTGGAAAACCACAGACATGCTCTTGGGCTGGATTTTATATCTCAGCAATACAATTTTAAGGTAGCAAAAGTGAGAGGCAAGAGAGTCAAAGTCTATCAGCCTGTACATGTTATTACATGGAGTAATGATTTATGTATTTTCCAGGTGGTGAGACAATCAAAGGCATCAGCCAGCAGTCTGGAGCCAGAATCGAGCTACAGAGGAATCCTCCGCCCAACGCTGATCCCAACATAAAGATGTTCACCGTCAGAGGCTCCCCTCAACAGATTGACTACGCCAGGCAGCTGGTGGAGGAGAAAATTGGGGTGAGACCTTCAAGCGACACCACACTTCCACTGCGACGTTTGAGGTTAAACTGGCTAATCCAGGCATGAAAGAGGCACATAAGTGGTGCGCTTGCATTGCGCAGAGATCTGTACTGCAGATTTAAAAATAGACAAGTCTTCCATTTACACAGAAATGAGTCAATAATGTCTGGATTTTCTAAATTTCCTACTTTGTATTGGACAGTGCTTCCACTTTGGGGTTAGTCCTCAGCTGGCCCATTTTGCGGTACACATTGGTCTGCCTGCACCTCAGTGTCAGTCTGCGTCTTTAAACCAATCACAGTCATCTTGGGCGGAGCTAAGTGAAACATGCAGCTTCTGTGTTTCCTCAATAGTGACAGGTGGAACATTGGCATGCATGGAGCCGAGCACTGTCATCATAATAAATAATCACTGCCTTACTGTATGATCTAAATCCTCGGCAAAAAACCGTCAGTGTTGCAGGTTGCTGTAGTTTCCTGTTGTGGTGGATTTAAAAAAGAAAAAGTAACACACAGACAGTGGAAGGGCAAGACAAAGCTGATCGTGAGCAACCAGTGACACCGATGCCCACATCTGGTGACTCAGACTACTGTGGAGATCTCAGTCACCCTGTCAGCATTTCTTTTGTCAGTATCAGCTGACAGTTTCTTGGTAGCTGTATTCTTTACAAAATCTACTGTAGATTGTAGATTTTAATTTATTACACGCTGTCACAAAACGAAGGCCATTTATCTTGTTTTGCTGCGACTGCTTGTTTATTGACTGCAGTGTGTTTTTGTTTTTTTCAGGGACCAGTCACTCCTATGGGTGGTCCACATGGTCCTCCTGGCCCACACGGAGGACCAGGCCCACATGGTCCTCCAGGACCACCAGGACCCCCCGGAGCTCCCATGGGTCCATACAACCCTGGACCATACAACCAGGGACCTCCAGGACCACAGTCAGTCCAGTAGCCATTTCTTCGCTAGCTTTTTGTGATTGTAAGAATATTTAGACACAAGTGGAGGATGCAGCGTGTTGATGGTTCTGTGTCATCTTTCATCAGTGGTCCTCCTGCTCCTTACCAGCCTCAAGGATGGGGCAATGGCTACCCACACTGGCAGCAGGGACAGCCTGATCCAAGTGAGTACCTGCTGACAGAAGACGCAGTGGTTCAGCTAAAAGGCCCTTTGTCACGATTATTCCTTTTATTAGAGCAATGGTTTTTAATCAGTTACAAGATATATAAACAAGAATTCTGAATTACTCACAGGTTATATAATGTATCTGTATGATCATAGCCTTTATCTTGGCCCGTGTGTGGTAACAAAACTCATCTGCCATGTGCAGATAAAGCAGCAGCTGATGCCAACGCAGCAGCGTGGGCAGCCTACTACGCTCAGTACAGCCAGCAGCCGCAGGCTCCCATGACCCCGACCAGCGGAGCTCCAGGCACAACTCAAACCAACGGCCAAGGTAACCGAAACGTTCTTCAGCTAACGCAAAGCAGAAAGTGTTTGCTTCTTGTACAAGCAGAATCTGCTAGATGAGTGTAGAGCAGCGTAGTTGAGTAGATTTACTTTAGCGTTCTGTGCTCATGTCTTCCTGGTGTTGCTAACTGAAGACAGGTTGGATGGTTTCACCTTTAAATGACTTTGCTTTTGCAGAGCAACTCTTTTTTTTAAAAAAAAAAAACTTTTTTTTATATTACCCCAGGGACAGGATAGTTTTCCTCCACCATCCCTAGGCTGACAGCCCAACCCAGGCAGGTGGAGGACAAACTGCTGAGAATGATTTACTAATTACAAGTACCGTTTTTTTTAACAGGTGACCCACAGGCTGCAGGTCAGAGTGGACAGGCAGATTACACCAAGGCCTGGGAGGAATATTACAAGAAAATGGGTATATGAACGTAGTTTCAGTGTACACCTATTAACACAAGACAGTCTAAACAGTCACTGGGCATTCAATCAGCTTCTTTTTCAGGTCTGGGCATTTGTCAGCATTACTGGCCTGCAGTGGAGCTTGTCAGTGTGTCTCCACTTGGTTTGACATTTGACGCCTGTGCTGTTTAGACTGCAACACTTTTGATTATCTGCAGGACTGAGCTGTCGACACAGAACCACCTTAATGATCTTAGAGTAGCCTACTTTTTTTTTTAGTCTATCTCAGGGCTTCATCCACACTGATGGCAGAGTTTTGCCACGTGTCATGAATGTTTTACTGTTACTGAATGTGTGTAGAGTTAAATGATGAACATGTTGGATTTGTGGCTTATGGATATAAGCAATGTAGGACCAGTGTTGTGTTGTGTCTTGTTCCCTTTGTTACACCTGGATGCATTGACACGTTTGGATTTTCTCTGCAGGTCAACAGAGTCAACAACCTCAGGACTACACAAAAGCCTGGGAGGAGTATTACAAGAAACAAGGTTAGTATTCTTTTCCATTTTTAGAATACAACAACTGTGATTTGAACTATTTTTATGATGGATGACTGCATTAGCAAAACAGTCTGCATCTTCTGAAGTGAATAATTTAGGTATTATGGGATTCTGGTGCTAAAAGTAATGTTTTATACGAACTTGATATGTAATATTGACAGCCTCCTGAGCTTAGAAACAGTTGTAATTTCTGTAAGAGGCTTACTAAAAGATGGCCACAGATTTAAAGAGTCCAAGAGCAGCAGCACTACAATGTGGTTGTTAAATAGACACCTGAGGTAAAACCGTCCTAGTTTCCTTGCAGCTCTGATGATGCTCATGTTAAAGGGTGGTTGTCTCCTCTAGCAGCTCTCTGTAGTAGAGTTGCTGCTCTCTCAGCCGCCCAATATAAAGGCAGAAGGTTTCTGACCCACCACCAGAGGCGTTGGTTGTGGGTTCGTTCCCCTTCTTATAAATATAATCTCCAAAGATTCTAAACTGTTGTTGCCTTCTCTGTTCATTATAGAAACTGGAATAGTAGCATATCATATGTAGTCATTTCATAATATGTTGGAGAACAAGTTTTACATCGTGTTGTTGCTTCATAGCCTAAAGGGTTGAATAGAAGAATCGAGTACTTTATACCGAGGAGTGTTTGTGTTGAGATCAGTCAGTCTGTGCAGGATAAAGACACCTCTCCTCCTTCTGCCCTTTTCTTGTCTGCTTTTTAAAGAGTGAAGTCAAACTCGACAACAGCAGCTGCTCTCGTCTCAAACCGCTCAAATATTCAGGCCTGTTGGAGTCATGACCGCACTCAGATCTGTTATTAGGCATGCCATTTTTTTTTTCATGTCTGCAGCCAGAAGCAAACTGTCTGCTTTATGTAGCTGCTGAGTGCCAGAGGTTTGAACATGTTTCAAGTCTGTACAGAGCAGCACAACTGTTTCTCTGCCTATTTTCAAATGTGAATTTATCACTAAAAGATTTAAAATGTGAAGAACAGCGGCCACAAGTGGTAGCCACAGGAACAGCCCATGATGAATTTACCTTCATTTCGCAGCAGCCATCACAAGTGTTTTTTAGTTTTTGTGTTTGCATCATCACTTTAAATTTTAGTTTTGGGGTGTTTGGAAGTCTTCCAAAAGTCTAAACAAAGTTATGCCACTGAATGTGTTAAACAGAGAATATATATTACAGGTAGTTATGTAGGAAGTACATCTTTAAATGTAAATATGGAAATAGTACTGTTTGCTAAAGCTGCATGATTATAGGCAAAATTATTATCTTTATATATTTTTTTATAAGTATCACAATTCAGTGATTTTTTTTTTTTTTTAAGGGACAAAATGTTTTTATTGCGCCTCACAGTACACCCAACGAATGCTGTTTGTATCACAGTAAGGCTCTGCAGTAATGGTTCACTCCACATCTCTGCACATAGAAGTCTGTAGTCTCCCCACTTAACCACAACTAGTGCAACATGGACTGTTTTTATCTGATTAATTCAATTATTTATGCATCCCTACTGCTAAGTGGTAATAACCAAGTATTCTGTGTTAGATTACAGTCCTACACCTGAAGTTAACTCATTCAGTCCTAATCCTGCTTCTCAGTACAGACCTCTGGATAAATGTTGGTGTCGTTTCTCTCGAGCTCGTTTTCTCCACTCACCTGATCCACTCTCGTTTTACCCTCCAGGTCAAGCAGCCCCTCAGGCTGCAACGGCGGCGGCGGCAGCCTCTCAGCCCGGAGGCCAGCCGGACTACAGCGCTGCCTGGGCGGAGTACTACCGACAGCAGGCTGCATACTACGGCACGGCCAACCCTCAGTCGATGGGTGCAGCACCACAAGCCCCTCAGGTACACCCCCGATAAGAATCCGCCCTCCACATTCACTTACACTCAGTCGATTTGTACCGTAACCCTCCTTCCCTCCTCAGGTTTCCACAGGGCTCCAGTGACTGCAGCAGCTGCTCAAACTTAACCAAAAACTACTTTCCTCCCTACACAGGTTTTTAGCTTTTTATTTTGGGAAGCTGAGTCCACTGTTTCTGCTGTTAACATGCAATGTATCTTCTATGTATTTCTTCTGCACAGGGCCAGTAATGTGAAGTGGACATAAAGTAAATGCTACATTGTCGAAACAAAATCCTTTGTTAAATGTTTGGATGCAGACGCCTTGATGAAGATCTTAAATTTCCTTGGTTTGAAAGTGTTTCACATAGATGGCAGATTACCCGGCGAACACGTCCTCCTTGATTTTTTCTTTTTTTGTTGTTTTTCTTTTTCTTGTAAATGCTTTTGTTTTTAGTGAGGTAATTATACATATGGTCATTCCAGCCCTGTATTCTACATTAAATGTGGTTAGAACTCATGTTTATTAAACTGTAGACATTACCATGTAAATCATCTCAGTTTTAAAATGCTCTTTGCCTGTTGTGTTTTTGCAATAAAACAAACTGAAACCTCCTGTGTTGGTAAGTTGGGGTGGTTTTAAAACCAAGAGGGGGTGGAGATGAACTTCTGTATGCTTTTGTTATTTTACGGGAGGGGAAACTGTTGAACTGCAGGCCATGTGTGGGGTTTTAATTGTCCAAAAATGGTTGACTCCAAGTTGTTGCTGTCCTGTCTCTCTCCAACTGTCTATAAGGCTCTTAGATAATATTTGCGTGCAATGATCCTGAACGGTTCAGACCAACAAACGTCCTTGTTGATAGACGATTTTTTTTTTAATACACTCCCTGTTTCCTGACTTTAGCAGTAGACTGTTTGACATGAGCAAGTTGCCAGGTATCTGTGTATCGCATCCCATGCATTAACTGCGTTGCTGTGGCTCTTTCTTTATTTACTGTTGCCTCGTTTGCTGACATTGTTGAGGTAGTATGCACTGTATTTTGCCTTGATATAGTCACTTCCTCCTCCACAGGCAAGTTTAGAAAAGCGGTAAGCAAGTACTCTTCTCATGTTCCTCAGACAAACGTGGTTCCAAGAAATGTTGCATATTTTTAGTGTTATATATATCTATATATCTATATTTTTGTGCTGTTCTTTTTCCAGGACAGTCAGGTAAAAAAACCAAAACAAATTGCCACTGTATCAGAAATGCATTGAAACTTTTGTCTTGCCCAATTGTGAACTAACTCACATGTATAAATTTGTTTTTTTTAAAAAGAATGTTTTTTTAATATAAAAACATTGCAAAAAAAAAGTTTTTTTTGCTGTGCCCATTCTGTTAGTGTTTATCCAGTATAAGAACGTAGATGTTGTAGGCTCGGGGGTGGCTAAGCAGTCTTCATCCTTCAGTTGAGCCCTCCTGTAATGTAAGTACACTTTGAGAAATACACGCCTTTTTTTTCTCGATGCTTTATAAATTGCAAAACATGTAGTACATATATATCTATTTTTTGTCACATATTGCCATTTTCCCCTTTGTCTTGGGTAAGTATGAAATGTTCTGAGGAGAGGCATAGTGCTTTAGACTCTGATGATTCTTGTACCACATGTTTCTGAGACTTATCTCCCCCTTTGTGACTGCACAACATTCAGCCTCTGAGTCTCCACAGTATGCTGTAGTGTTTGTGTAGGTAGCATTTCAGTCGGATTTCTGAACTGAGGGTTTGAATGTCAGCACTCTGATACACTGCTGGTAGGAACTGTTTTAAGGATGTCCATGTTGGTTGTATTTTTTGCGTTGTGATTATCTGACCTGCTAAGTGCCATTGTGTAGTCGATGTGTTTTCTTTTTAAAAAGAAAAATGCCATTCATTGCAACGCTAGAAAACTCCTACTGCATAACTCCAGCGTAGCATGCTTAGGTTTCTTGCTGATAATTTCTTTAATGTCCTACATGAGCATGTGGAATGCTAGTAGTGGAAGTGCTTTCTGACTAGCTCAGTATTGATTTTTTTAAAACAATGATTCTGAATGAGCACTGTTGTTGAAAGGCTGTTGATATTTAAGGTTTCGAAAAAGCAAATCTTATTTTTTTGACTGCATTGTTCACTGATGGCAAACAGTGCGATTATATCTGATCTTTGCAGTGTCGTCCCAGACCTTGCACCTTAGGTTCTGCTGCAATAACACAGGTAAGCGCAACCTAAGGAAACCAGTGTTTTTGTCCAGTGACATGACCAATATTACATGCAAAGAAAATGCTTACCTGTGTCGTTAACAATGCATTTAGTCGTTAAAGAAATGTCCAGGATTATCAGCCCTTTTTTTTTTTTGTCTTTTTTAAAAGATGCTTTCATGAATGAACTGCATGATATGAGCTGTTTCACTTGTTACATGACCCCAGGAAAAAAAAAGGTTGTTGCATTAGGAGGAAATGTTGTGCTTAATATTTGATGATAGCCTTATTCTTTGCACCCGGTAAGTCTGACAAGCGACTGTATATCGATGCTTTTAGTGGTGTAACAAACTGCATGCCTGTTGCCAGAAGTTAGCAATGTGCTCAGGTTTTTAAAACACAAAACGGTGAAATACATGATTTTTTTTTTTGAAGTACATTTTTCTGTCGTGGTGTGAATCTGCCCTCAAGTGCAGTGCAAATCTACTATTGAAACGCTGCTGCCTTCACTTCTCGCTCACAGTGTTGGAGGATGCTGCAGGCTTAGGTCGTAGAATCAGGCCGTGTCGTAGTTTGTCCCCAAAAGGAGGAATCCTTTGAGTCAATCCCACTGCTGAACGTAGACCGTTCAAGAGCTCCAGTGATAAGGTAACAAAACAGCAACGCAATGAAATTCAAATTCTGTGATTGCAAAAAAAAAAGAAAAATTGAGTGTTGGTCAGATACATGTTTTTCTAGCCCGGATTGTTGTTGTTTTAATCATGATAGTGTATCCAGAGCTGTCTGATGGCTGTTTGTTTCATCGTGTCACTGCCTTCATGAATAACTTTTAGTCACGAACAGGAATGTGCTTTAGAAAGTTGGACGAGGACAGGAACTGATATACTGGCAGTAAAATTTGGGATTAGCAGTTGTTTTATTTTTTTTTAAAGATCACTTTTCTCTGTAGTTACAAAGGTCACACTGTTTTGTTTGAGGCTATTCACTCTGTACATGTGAGATGCTCAGTGTTTCAACACAGAGTTCGAGGGGGTGTAGAAGACAAAACAAGGAGCATGCCTTAGAGGTAAACAAGGTTTCATGTGCTGTGTATATTAAATCTATTGGTTTGTTTTTTTTGAATTAACTGTTCTGACTTCTAAAATGTTGCCATGTTCATTAATAAAGTTGTAACTAATAAACTGGACGAATGTCCTCGAGTCTTATTCAGTATATCACAGGGAAGTATGCACACATTTAATTGAAAGCAGGAAAAATACGTCAAACACATTCAGAGTCTTTATTTGCTTAATTTATACACAAAACAAAGTGAATGCACAAAATTAACCGTCCCCTCTGTGTGGACAAAACTACTAGTGTCGTTGTAAAATAAGACTTTTATTACAAGTCGGTCTCAAAACAACACAATATGTGCATTAGAAGGTTTTGGTCACTTCTCAGGTTCATACCAACCATAAAAAAACACATCTGAAACTCAAAAATATCTTCAAAGGGCAGATATTTAGCGCTTAACTCGCTCGTGTTGCTGTCAGTGATGGAAAACCATCTCAGATCATACATTAAACATCGTCGTCATTTTTTATTGCAGAGCTGTGACTGAAAAATAACCAATATTTGGTTTTGATGGTTGTGAGTCACTGCGTGTCAGACTCAGTGCTGTCAGTCTCAAATTAATTTAAAGGAGGGACCAATAGTCCTTTTTCAAAGCAGCCATTTGGACACGAAATAACAGGTAAACAAAGGTGTTGCTAATAATGATAATTAAGGCTCTGCACCGAAGTAGAAACATAATCATTACTGTCATCACTAATGCCCATGTTTATCTGCTATTGAAAAAGGTTTGTTTATTAAAACATATGGTACAAAGAAGCTGAAATTATTACCCTCACAAAACAGTTTCTACCTGCCCAGCTCATCAAAAAAGTCGCCTGAAACCCAGTCAAATCTGGCAACACTGCAGCTCTGACCTTAGTGTCTCTAGTAGTAATTTCATCTATTATTGATTGTCAGCAAATAAAACACACCGAAAAGTTGCGAGAGGCCGTCTTAACATCCTAAAATGTTTTCTACAGCATAACTAGCAGCTGAAAATACAGAAGTGAATGTGTTTACTGTCTAAACAAAACATAATCACAGTGTAGAGCCTGGATCCAGCAATTTCTTGCTTTAAATTCTCCTTAAAGGTTGTAAAAACAGCTGCTTACTTGTTCACTTCAGCCTTAAAGCATTTAACATAGGGTAGATGATCATTTATGAAACAACAGGCTTCTTTTTATGGTCAGTATGAACAAGAGGAGAGATCATGTGAGTGGTGTTTTAGGACAGACTTGAAATAATATAAAACTTTAAAGGTGGAGTCTGTGATCCTGGAGAACGACTGCTTTTGAGTTTCTTGACATATTTGAATAGTGAGCATGTGCTAGATTTACTATCCTTTGCACAAGCTGAAGCAGAATTCGCTGAAAAAGTGTGTCAATATTCTCAAAATTTATCAAAAGCTGCATTGGTTTAGCATCACGTTCTCCACCTTTAAGAGTGAAATCCTACAGAAACAGCAGATGACAGCAGGCGGTCACACTGGTGTCCACATGTGTTCACACTGTATGGTAGCAGCGGCTCCACTGCTCACACTTCCACCTTGTTCCACATCTGTTCTGTACACGGCAGTGACTGAGCAGCAGAGCAGACGACAATATACTGCAGTATTCTTCAAACCTCACAGGTTAAGAGAAACACCAAGACTCAGACTGACATTCAGTGACAAAGACAAGGCTTGAATATGTGCATTCATAGTAAGGCTTTTAGCGTTTTTTGCCCGTCATGAAAAACCGAGTGGCACAAGTTGCTGAACAGCACGAAAGTCTTCTATTAGTGCCTCGCGGGCTGCATTTCAATCTTGCATGAAGCTTTTTCCCTTTTTAAATAACTCCATGTAATGAGATGGATGTTCCCTTTTCATCTGTGACTCGCTGTGCTCAGTGACGGGCAGCTTGTACTTGTAGCAAAAACACAAAGTACATTTAATAGTGTTGCATTGCTGATGCTCAGTAGGATGTGGAAACACATCGAATAAATCTGACAAAGTCTAACTGTGTGTTTGAAGCTGACCACAAATCCATTAACACGTACAGGCACGACTACAACTTCTACAAAATAAACCCTGCATCATTTAGCTGTGTAATAAAATAAATATGGTAAAATATCTCCTTTTCTCACACAAACTGCTCTTAACGGCAATAAATATGCCCTTTAATTACACTGCGTTAATATCTACCGCTAGAGAATCACTGCCAGTCTCACAGCAAGTTGAAATGATAAATATTATTGCTATGGTATTTAAAAGTGACGGCCATGGCACAGTGAAAGGGGACTGGGGAGAGGAGGAGGAGGAGGAGGAGGCCACAACAGAGATGAAGAACATGTGTGAAGGCAGGCAGCGAACACAGTACACCTGGATCCACAGATACAGAGACCACACGGCATGATGGGAGATGTAGTGAGCGGATTTCAGAGGCGTGCTCACACCTACGGATAGGTTTCTTTGGTCCGGCAGTTGGTGTGAACTCACCCTAGAATAAATGCTGTCATGTCCTTGTGTGCAGTGTCTTAAAACTCCCCGGGTGGCCTCTCACTGCACCGGAGCCTCCAGCAGGGCGGCGCTGGGCAGCAGCTGCACCTGCGGGGAGCTGCAGCCGTTGTGGTGCAGCTGGGAGTCGGCTCCCAGGTAGGCCAGCAGCAGCTCGGTGCGCCGGTGCAGCAGGTGGAGCATGTCCTCCGCCAGACTCTCCATCGACGAGTAGCGCACCTTGTCCAGGTCAAAAATGTCCTTCAGGAAGTAGAGCACCTGGTCCTGGAGGAGAAGCAGGAGTCATAAGTAAATTAATATAAACTACACTTCAAGTGGAGGTTGATGCAGCAAAGAAACACAACGAGTAAAATGTATTTTAATCATGATCCTTGGAGCTGCAGCATAAAGCAACAGAAGAAGATCGTGTTGCTTTTTAGTGAAGCTCAAAGAATTACCATGACCGGCATGACTGAACATCTACAGACTGTTTTTCATTTTGCCAAAACACAGATGTACTGGTTTAATTCATTCTACAAAAAAGGGAGACATCATTGGTGTATATTCTTGAAATATTTAAGCCTTTTTTGACACAAGAGCTCCTTGGATATTGTAAATTACAGTTAGAAACCTGATTTGTAAATTAAAAATGTAAAAGTCTTTGAAAAATATAAACGTTCTAACATGTAGAGACACAAATATATGAAGAAAACAAAAACAGATTAAACAACCCAGTTCCAGTGCATACACAACTGGTGGTTACTTTTTGGTCACTTACTGGTCATTATGTTATAGAGTTCAAATATCTGAATATTAACAGTTTTAATGTAAAGCACACTGGGTTTACTTGCACTGAAAATGCTGGAGAATTAAATTTGCCTTACTACTTAATAAAATAAAGAATATTATTTTGGCACATACCCCGGTAGCTGTGGTGTAAAACTGTTTTTTGTTGATTTTTTTGAGTGGAAACGCTGACACTTTGCTCAGTGAGTCTGGTTCCATCTGCATTCTGCTTTATTTGACACATAGGTGTAGATATTGTTCGTACCACCAGGGGTCTGGGCCTTCTTCTCCAGAAAATTATGGGCAGCAAACACTAAACTCCCTGCATTGTGGTGAGTTTCTACGCAACAATTTCAGACTTTTCTGCCTCAAGTCATGTGAAGGAAAGCACAAATGTCCACATCATCACACAAAAACAATGGCACAATGAGTAAACGTCAGATTCTAGAATAAAGGTTGTAAATATTGTGTCCTCCCTGAAATCCACTTCTATGAATTGAGACGCCAATTTGTACACCTCAGTCAGCTGTTAGCTTTATTGTGTTATTTTTACAATCCACAGAAGCTTCTGCTCCACTGGAGAGATTGAAACCTGAAATGCCATCATGTTTTTATCATCTCTTTATGCTCTTTTTCACCATTACAGGTGTTATTTCAATTACAATATGTAGTTGCGCCCTCTTCTTCTCTGGTGGTTTAATGTTACCAGACTGGAGACTCAGCATCACCAGCTGTTTGTGTCAACTAACAAACTGCATTAGCATACAATGCATTAGCATACCAGTAGCGAATGGCCACATGTATTTTTGTTGAATTCTTGGATGGAAACTCAGCCTCTGATAGAAGGCAGCGATCACATTTCCAGAAGGTTACTGGTTGATATCATGTGTTCAGTTCTGACTGACCTTGAAGAAGCAGCAGAAGTCGTGCAGGGAGCTCTTTGGCCCCAGGAAGCCCCAGGCCAGGACGGGGCTGATCTGTTCACACACAGTGTAGAAATGAGCGATGAAGCCGTCGGCCACCTGAGACAAACAGCAGAGGTTACAGAGGGGTTTGGACTTCCTGCTAACGGTCTTGCTGCTTTCATATTTCACACCTGATTGACCTAGTTAGTTAGTTGTGTCTATTTATAACGTATATGAGTTGGCAGATATTAAAACAAAGATTATACTGTATACTACATCAGATAAAGAAATTAACAGACTTGTACCTTCATGTGTTGTCTCTTCTGCTTCAGGACTGACCAACAACTGGACGCCACCGCCTGTGAAATACGCACATAAGATTCAATGAAAAGCCAAAATTCAAAAGGTGTTAGCTTAAACCTAAAGTGTCCTAACAGAATGTGGAACCTACGTGGATCATTACATCGCACAGTTTTACTCACCGTCTCCTTGAAGGAGCTGTTGAGCCAGCGGTTGTTGATGACGTTCTGGATGGAGATAGGTGGGTTCTCCAGGTCCTCAAAGGAGTCCATCAGGATGAAGTCCAGCACGATGTCATAGAAGTTCAAGTGCCTCACCTGGCAAGTATCAAACATTATTAAAAACCGATCACGTTGGTCCTTTCAGTGCTGTTTGACACTGGACAGAACAAAGTCAGCTGGTGGAGTTTGAACTATCACTGCTACGTAACACTTACTCCTCGCGTGGCCAGCTCCACCTCCGTGTCCTCCCAGTGCTCCGTGTGCTCCATAAAGGAGATCATCTCTTCAAACACTTCCTCAAATCTCTTTGGGCTCTGCAAACCAGACACACATTTACGAGGGGAACACCTCAGGAAAGAGCGATAATTGTATTTACTAGCTGTGTCTTCGGTCTTACCTTCTGTGCTTTAACTATGATTGAAGACAGTATTTTCTTTCCTGTTTCGGCCAGAAACATCCTGGTCGTCCTCTCGCACAAAATGAGCTGGAGACCAAAGAGCGTAGCTTTAATAATCATTAAAGTAGAGCTCAGTAGTTCCCACTGTGGTCCTGATGCAAACCTTGATGTTTACATGACTGTTTACAATTCAATGAGAATACAGCTTAAAGAGCCCATACAGTCCTATAATTGTATATTTGGGGTCTACTAGAATATGTTTACAGGCTTTAATGTACAAAAAACATATTAATCTCATCCTGCTCATTGCCGCAACACCTCCTGTCTCTTTAAAACGGCCCTTTCAAGAAGCTTAGTCTGCTCTGATGGTCAACAAAAGCAAACATGTGATGCAAATGTGTTACCTGATGATATAAATAAGTAACAGAGAAAAAAACCTAAACTTCAAATGAGGCGTTTTTTAGGCAGGTAACAAGCAGTGTTTCTTGTGGGAGCAAATAACTCCCTTTGGCAAGGACTCGGTAAGTTTGCAGTGGACAAAAAAAAAAGCAGCTATAGAGACGCACGAAAGGAAAGGAAAACATCCAAGAAGCATAATATGGGCTCTTTACATGCACGATACAGAAGAACGAAACTGCAAAACAGCCTTTAAAATATTTTCTTCATCTTTATATACAAGTGATGGTGGGAACAAGTTCTTAAACTGTGCTACAATTATGAAGGTGAACCTTACCTGACATGCCTGCCGCACACAGTGTAACTTAGCCAGGAAATCCAAGTCTCCGAGACACTCCAGCAACTCGGTTCTGAAAATGACAATCAAGAAAAACACCATAATTAAAATGTCAGCAGACATCACAGGTATCAAACAGTTTTCAAGCAGTTGCCATTTAATTTCAGCCTCTTGCGTGTTCTGTAGGTTCTCTAAAGCTGACAATCGTGCGTTTTTCACGTGTTAATGTGAATAATTACCGCAGCACTCTGCAGGAGATCTTGCCGTCTTCGGCCATCTGCAGCGCCTCCTCGTAGAAGCGGTGATGACCCAAAGCAAAGGCACTCCTCAGCTCTCTGTGCTCTGACAGCTGAGACAGAAATCAAACAACGATGATCACTTTTACTTCCTGCGTGTCACACACGATGCTTAAAGTGTTCATGACATCAGGTCCACTTTTCATTATCCACAATTGTGATTCTCGTTCTGGGTCCACATCTTGTAACAACACAAAGAAACTTTTTTATAATTGCTTTTTCTTCTTTGCTCTCACAGATTTTTATTCACTGCTTAGTTTTTGTTTGTTGAATCTGAATTAATGTTTAGGACAATAAGAGAAAAGTTAATTTATACAGCAACTGGTGTTGATCACTGTGTCAACTCTGCCTCAAACGTTGAACCTGAAGTGTTTGTAAATGAGTGCAGCCTCACTGCATCTTTGAAATCTGTGTCACGTCTTCAGAGGGGCCTCGCGTCTGTCCTTTAACCTATTAACCTGCACCGTGTTTTGAGCGGCACACTTTTAACAAGCATGAAGAAAACCCTTCGTGGCTCTTCGTGTTACGGCAGCGTGTGGAGTGTGTAGTGAAAACAGCTGACTACATGTCGTACAGTGTTGCAGGAATGTCGAAGGTCTATTTTCAGTGAGTCACCAAGTATGAATGACCTCGTTTCACTGCTGAGAGCAAATGGCAAACGACAAGTTTGCAAATGTGAATACTTGTGTTTAAAATGTTTAAATCATATGTACTTTAAAGCATACTTGTAAAGCATTTTGTAGCTTTCTACAGGTGAGGAGTTAAAGGCTTTGGTCTGAACAGAGAATCCAGCTTGTAGACTTTGTAAACAGCCAGTTTGTTTTTGTATTTTGTTGGTCAAATGCAGCAGCAGCAGCACAGCTTGAGCCCCCACAGAGACTTAATGAGTAAAGGAGATCAACAGAGAACGGGTAAACAGCGGCTGGTGAACATACAGGAAGATCAAAGTCATCCGCATCAAACTCCTGCTGTGAATCAAAGTCAAAGTTTCAGACAGGTTGAGATTAAAGCGTTTGCTGGGTTTCCTTATTTCCTGTTCAAAACCCGTATATCATCCATAACTGTACAGTTCTGCGGTTTATCAACTGAGAGGACATCTCCTGTTTTGCAATCGCGTCTAAATGTATTTGTCATATTGTGAATCCACATTTTTGTTTTATGTTTTGAAAGCTAAACCTTTTGAAATCTGAAAAAATGTACTTTGATAACACCACATATAAACAGACTATTAATGAAGCACACGCTTCTCCAGATCCTTCGAATCGATTGCATGTTATTTGCAGGGTTTTTCCTGCATAGAGGACTTCTTGCTGCCCAAAGAGGTTGTAGCCAGCAACAAAAGAAGATCGCCTGCATGCATAGTGACCCTCAAAAGCAATATTCTGATTCTCAAACAAAAAAACAGCAATCCTGATTTATTGTCTATTTATGGTAGCACCTAACTAAGAATTCAAGGGACGGCAAATCTGACATACATGTGAAAATGCATGAAGAGATTTATGTTCACTGAACCAAAAAGTCTGTGCTGCAGAGTTCATTCATTAGTATTGAATGGCATTTTATGCTATTTTTGTAGAGAATGTGATACTGACAAAATGCCATTCATGAACATCAAGAATTGTTGAGGTGTAAAAGAGGTGATTCCAGAGAGAGGTTTAGTGCTTTTCTTACCTCAGCAGCAGACACAAAGGAGTCTGTGGAGGCGATGCTGATGCTGTCTCTCAGACAGGCGTCATCCAGCTCTTCTCTGGACAAAACGTCGGCCATTTTATCTGGTAGAAAGAAAAATCATGTTGACACAACAGTAAAGTTTGTATCTGATTGCATTATAGCATATGTTACATGTTATATTAATTTAAAAAGCACTCCAACTAAGCAGCCACACATTCAAGCTACAACCTGAACAATCATGCAAAAGCAGAGTTTACATCTCGGGGGCCCTGTCTCAATCTAAATGTCAAGTGAATGTGAAATATTGCCGAAAAAAAGAAACGAAATGTGAATTACACTTGTTTTCATTAACTGCTTTGGAGGGAATAATCTAGGCTGCAAAGTGTCGTCAGAGGATGGCTGTATAGGCAACAACATGACTGTAATAAACAAAGTAGAAGAAGCAGGGGCAAATAATAGTGGTTTGCCAACTGCTAAAAAACCTTAAAGTAACAAAACAAGACCGTTGCCACCTTCAAGACAAAATGTACATAACTCTTCAGGAATTGATTTAAATCTGAAATGTTGTAGTTATTCTTTCATGTCAGCTTTATTGGCCATGTTTCACGGAGGAAAAAACTAAAGAAGCGGACAGAGCTGATCAGTTATTTAGGTTTAATGGTCTCCGTGTCAGAGCTTAACATCTCCAAAAAAGCAAAATAACTCTTTCTGGAAAAGGTCATCAACTACTTCAAGCTCTTATGAAAACATTTTTGTCAAATTGAAGACATTTTGCGGTTTCCATTAACTTTTTCCTCATGCGATAGTTTCTAATTTGCACCAAACTATCTAAACCCGACTACTACCTGTTACATTAGATGCTTCACAAAACTACTGTGCTGCTCTGCATTATATTGAATCGATCCATCTGTTTTTTGTGGTGGTATGGAAGAATCGCACAGTATTGTATTTTTGACTCACCTTGGCTGTTGCTGTGGGAGGAAGGCTCTGACATGCCCAGCACACCTTCAAACTCCTCCTGGAGGTGGTAGGCCCTCTGCAGCAGAGACTTCAGCCTGTGGATGAACTCTGCACTGATGACATCCTGAACACAGAGACATTGAAAGAGAGCGATCAAACACCTCTACCTTAATCAGTATAGAAAAACAAGACTTACGAACTTTAACAGTGTCCCCGAGTCAATATGGGCTGTTAGCTCATTTAAAATGTAATCATTACACAGTGAAGTTTAGAAATATTACAATTTTTGGCACAATTTCACTCAGATTATTTTCAGCTCGTCCTTGGGAATCCCCCGCGACCTAATTTTTTAACAAGCTTTCTACACAGGCACAAGTGAGCAGTGGATTTGCTTGACTGAAGACCAAGCAGCAGCCTCAACGTCTGTTTGGGTGCCCAGACTTAACTATTTGACCCACACTAATCCAAAGCCTTTGCAGTCAGGTTAGACAGCCAGTGAGTTATACAATCCAAACTCTGGGACAATGGTGGGCTGTCAGAGGGCAGGTTAGTCATAAAGGTGACCTGTAGTGCAGTGTTTGTGGGCAGTCTTCCTCTGGTTTTAAAGAACTGAGCACACAGCACAGAAAATGTTGGCGTGACTTCAATCAACACATCAACTCTTGGGACTCAAGCTGAGATAGACACATGGGTGTTGTGCAATCATTTTCTTTATTGGAAAAGAAGAATCAATTGTGCATAAGTCATTTTATGTTGCAGTAAAATGGGCATTTTAGCACAGAAATTGTATTGAAACGAGGAAGTGCCTCATATTTTACCCTTCCACCTCTGTGACTAAAGTACAAAAACACACACTTATTAGGAACCCCTGTTCACTTCCTTATTCATGCAATTATCCAATCATCCAATTGTGTCACGCATAAAACCATATAGATAAAGGTCAGGTGCTTTAAATGTTTACATCAAACATCAGAATGGTATATTGTAACCTCAGTAACTTTGACCATGATATGCTTGGGTACCAGACGAGCTGTTCTGTCTATTTCTGTGCGTTGAACAAAACAAAAGACATACAGTGCTGCAGACAGAAATAATGCCTTGTTGGTGAGAGCTGTCACAAGAGAATGACCAGACTGATTGGTGCTGACAGAAATGCTGCAGCAACTCAGACAACTGCGTTTTACGACTGTGCTGAACAGGAAAGCACCTCCGACTCACAACAGATACAGCTATGAGTCAAGAACAAAAACATGATCCTGCAGTGGACACAGGCTCACCAAAAATGGAAAGTTCTCGACAATTTCTGCTGAGATATGCAGATGGCACTCAGAGTTCCTGAAGTGTAATGATGAGCCCCTCACCAGGGTTGTGGGGGGCTGGAGTCCATCCCAGCTGACTCAGGGTGAAGGCAGGGGACACCCTGGACAGGTCACCAGTCTATCACAGGGCTACACTTAGAGACAGACAACCAAGCACACTCACATTCACACCTACAGACAATTTACAATCACCAATTAACCTCAACATGTTTTTGGACTGTGTGGGAGGAAGCCGGAGAACCCGGAGAGAACCCACACTGCACGGGGAGAACATGCAAACTCCACGCAGAAAGATCCCAGGCGACCTTCTTGCTGCGAGGCAACGATGCTAACCACCAAGTCACCTTGCAGCCCCATGTTTTTTCTAATTGCTTTAATTATTTTCATTTTTCAGAGCTACAAACTGCAGATATTAAACTTTCCAAAAGTCCTTATACTAATCATGTTGCATTTACAGTTCCAATGGAAAACTTAACCAAATATAAGCTTAAAATTATGATATGTCATCAAAATCACTTTGGTCTCATTAAAATTTTTGGCAAAAATAAATGCAATAACCACATTCTGTAAAAACGATAGACTTTATGCTCCTCTGTGCAACCAAGAAGTCATTAGTGACTCAGCTGCAACCAAAATGTGACTTTTCAGTTGAACTGCAAGTAATAAAATATCGATTCCCTGTAGAGTCATCATCACACTGCACTGAGGACATTTTGAGCTCTCTCTACTTCTAGTCATGGTTGTTTTGTTTCCATAGAGGAGCACGACTTTATACTGCAGTGAAAAATGAGCCCACAGGAAGTAAAAAAACATGACAGGAGCAAAACATGTCCCATAACTGCTTGGGGTTCAGAGGGTTAATACCAGTCAGTCATGGTTGGGATGCCACAGCCTGTCTGAGAACTGCTGCTGACTGTGTGCCTCCCTTTATGGTCACAATGTACCAATTTCTAATGGTACTCCTGGTATGAAAACGCACCATGTCACAATCATCTCAGACTGGTTTCATGAACATAACAATGAGTTCAACTGTCTGCCGAGTGACCAGCTGACAACAGGGACCACAATCTTTAAGGAATGTTTGCAACATGGTGTGGAATCCAAGACACCAACAACTGAGGCTGTTTTGAGACCAACACAGGCCTTACACAGTATTAGTGTTTCTTACCTCCATGGTCTGTTCAGCGATGGTGTCTCCAGCTCCTGTTTTGACAGATGCACAGCTCGCATCATCCTCACCCTGCCTGCTTCTGAATGTCAAGGCCTCCTCCCACCGCCGCAGAGCCTCTTCAAACAAATCCATACCTGAGAGGGAAAAAAAAAACACAAACTCTCAGTCTCCAAAAACAATCGATAAATTCCAATTTTAAAGCATACTGCAAGCCAACAAAAACAACAAATTGAAACTACAGACTGAACGTTTCCATTTCTTCAGTTCATTTAGCATCTGGTCCTTTCTCCTTATTGCAAACACAGAGAGGTGATGCAGTACACAAGTCCATTTACCCATGAGGTACAGGTTTTCAGGTGTGGTTACAGGTAAGTTGACCACACTGCAGATGTCAGCGTCCCCCACTCTGTCCCAACAGGTGGATTCATTTGCGCAGGTGCTGCTGCTGGACGAGTTCATACTTTTTACCTGCAAAGACACAGCAGAGGAGCACCGTGAAACCTTTGAAGCCACATCTCAACACAAATACACTGCAGGTCAGCTCTACCAACAATAGATTTTATTAACTACCAATAGTATAAACAAAAAACAGACAAGAAATACTTGAAATCTCACATCAGGCACGGTTAAGAATTACTGGAAAACCAAACAGAAGTACAGAGAATAAATCTTACTCATCACTGGATTGTGTCTATGAGGAGGATATGGAGCAAACCACACCAGACACAAAAGGATAAGCAAAGTTTTCTATTCTGGTTTAAGTACTGAAAACTTTTTAATGTATAATCAGATTTTTCCTTCTCTTAAAGTCAAAAACAAGCAATCACTGCATTGTGTCTGTGGGCTTTGTCGCCTTAGATAAAAATGATCTGTAACATAGTCATTAGATTAAAACTATGGCTTTGTCTTACCGAGGCCAGGCTTAACAGAGACCCAGACAGTTTCCTATAATCTCCTGCAGTGAGGACCAGGCCAGAGGAGTAGCCATTCTTGGAGTTGAGGGAGAGAGTGATGTTCTGGCTGGTGTTGTCTGGGTAGATAAAGACAACACTTATGAGATAAGGTCCTGTAAATGATAAAACTTATATAAACTATGTCTATTTATTAAATTCTTTGCGGTATTTAAGTGTATATCTGCTGCATTCACAGGAAAAGATTATTTACTCTGGTCAATTGCTAATTTGACTTCCTTTAATCCTGCATTTCTTTTAATTTCTTATTGGGACTCTAATCAGAGGCAAATCTTCCTAAGTGAGATTAAATGAGGTAAAGCATTTATCTGGAGCCTGCTCCTTGCAGTTCAAGGTAATACAGGCGCAGCCTCGAACGTCAGACTGATTACATAACCAAACAGTAAATGGGCCAGCGTATTAAACGGAGATTACAGGCCAGTGAGCTGCTGCTCGAAGGCAAAAAATATCACAGTGTCAGGAAGTCTTACCATTTTCTGCTGAAGTTGCAGCGAAAAACTCAAAACCAGCCTGCTCCCATTGTGGCGAGTGAGCCTTCTTTCTGCCCTTCCTCCTCTGGAAGCGACGAGCGAGGAAGAGGAGCGAGACGGCACCAAAGGCAGTGGCAGCCACCAATTTCTTGGTGCCTGTGCTGACACTCACCTAGAGGCAAGAAAATGAAGAAGAGCTAAACGTTAAATGTTGTTACATCGTACAAAGAACCCATAACACCACATTGTGAATGAAAATCGAAACAATTTAAAGCCCGTATTTCTCTGCAGGTTCACATCTTGTTATGATCACAACTCTTTTCCAAAGCATGGGGGTCAGAAAATCCCCAAACCAAGTACTTTTTGTTTCTGTTTAGCTAAATATTAACGGTAATATGTAAAACTGAAAGGAAAAGAAGACAGTTTTATCAGTCATTACAACTGAGTATCAACACAGATGAACTTTGTTATACAAAACATGTTTACAGTTCTCTCAGTAAGGTCTCAAATAACTTTCGATTTAGTGTTGAAAAAAATAGTTGAAGCCTAACTAACTACAGACACAGACCGAAATGAAATTCAAAACACCAAAAGTTACATTTATTGACCTTGAGACACACACTGACGGCACCTGGCTCTCTTTAATAGCCTACAAGCTACAGGTACATTAGCTTCTAGGGACTACTTAGGTGGAAACAAAACTACGTGAAACACAAAATGTTTACATAAAAGCAACACGGATATTAAATAAATAACTGTTCCTATAAACAGTTCAAAACATATACTCAACATTACGAAATCAACACCACTTCTGTCTCCAATTTTGTGCTTAAACCAATAGAAGGCAAGTACTGTCGACATTTTACTGAGAATATTATGATGTATGTAGATAACAAAATTCTGCACTGAAGTTTGCTTATGTAAACAGTGATTTAAATAACTTGAGCAAACAACACAAACGGTAAAAAGGAAAGACTGGAAGGTGCTACACTGAGTGCAACACTTGGCTGTCTGATGAGAGTTGAACGTAGGATGCAAGACTCAAAATTTAGTGGACACATGTTGTACCAGGCAGGACTGGGGATCAGCTACTCGCCTGTCATATAGATTTTAAAAAATCTGTTTCAGATAACGTGCGTATCCCCCTCAGTCTATAGTTAGAAACACTGACTGAAGAGGAGATAATCCACATAGACGCTGCTGCTGCTGCTGCTATTGCACATTCGCAACAACTGATGCATTACATAAACACTTGGATGGGAGGTATGACAACAGACATAATATTGACTATTTGAAAAGGGTACTGAAAGGGCTGGAATGATTTAATGGTGCAGCAGGTCTGCAGCGCTTCAAAGCTGTGTCCATACCCGCTGCTGCCACATGTCAGGCATTCTCGTACCAGAATATCCAATTATATCCGACCTGCTACGTGACTCAGGGCACAAACACACTCATGCCCTCCATGTACTGTAAGGTAAGTACACACGGAAAGATGGTAAAGGAAAATACCGGACATTTAGCATCTAAGGTAACATTTAAAATCACAACTGCTCTGACAGCCTGAAAGTTTAACTGTACAACGTTTTAATGTAAGCCTGCTCTATGCCCAGTTTACATGAGGGCTCGACCGATTATCAGGCTGGCCGATTATTGGATGCAATAGTCAGCATTTTTCTGATTATTGGTATTTTTATTTCAGCACGCTGTGGTTCAGCACAACTGATGAACACTTATTGAGTTACAACTCATCAACACTGAAGGATGAATGTTTAAAAAAATCTGTTTTAATTACACATAATTAACAAAGGCATTTTAATTCAGTTTTTCATCAGAGTGTGTGTTGTTCTAAATTTTGACACCAAGATTTTCATTTTTACTGCATGTGTATCAATTGCAAATAACGATTATCGGTCTTCTTGATTAAAAATAACAGGCATGAGCCCCAAAAACCCATTACCATTTAGCCCCTGGTCTTCATGAACTTTTGCTTTGATTAAAAAATAAGTATTCTGACGTCTGCGTTTGCAAACTATCTACACAGAATCACATAAATCTTTTGACACTCTTTCTCATTAGCTATAAGACTGGCTGAGCGGCAGGTCAGTATCCTTCCACCGCAGAAAGCCTTCGCCGAAAAAACAAACTAGTAGAAGCACTTTATATGTAAGAAGTGTAGCCACCAGCTCATTTAATCAGCTTAAAAGGAAGACTATGAAAGGACATGTGCCAAATTCAGTCATATCAGACCTTCATACAAGGTTATCTGCGTCACAAAGTTGCATTTATGAACACACTCATCAGTAAAGTACAAAAATAGAGAAAATGAAACACCTCAATGCCAGGTCCCAGCAACTGTACTTCATGTTCTGCTTGCATGCACATGGGAATGTAGATGCAACCACAGGCATGATGGGTTACTGTTAGTGTGTTTTTAAACAAGCAAAAACTGCAAGTTAATCAATTACAGGAGGTATTCTGAGGCCGTGTAATTTGTGTTTACACCAAGTATAATTGGAGAATGTGAACTATTATACGAGCCTAGATATTTTTGGGGTCATAATATCACAGTAGGAATTTAATGTGTGTTTTACTCAACAGTAAATAGTACTTTTGAGTGTCAGTCTTGTCAGAAATTGTGGAGCCAGTGGGGATATTTTGATGCAGATTATTCCAGAATTGCAGATTATTAAGAACTATTAGATATTTGTTTAAATCATTACTAATAGTTGGGGAAAAAGGCCTTGGGAGGATTAATCTGAGGGTGCAATTGTGTCCTCAACAGCACTGTTTGAATGGACCAGAAATAGCCACCAGTGAGCACTCCATGTAACACGGCTGTGGAAGAACACCTGCCAGTTTCAAACACATGCTCACCTGTGCCAGGGAGCTGCAGACGGACAGCGGTAGGTCAACCATGCGCAGGGCAGCAGCCTTAACAGACAGCTGGGAGCTTGAGAGGGTCTCATGTGTCATTGTGGCACCCTATCCATGACTTGGCAACTCCTGTGTCTTGATCACCATTGTGCTGGAGCTGAAGACGATGACACGAAGACATTATTAACAGCTTTAACATTGGAGGGGACACAATGATTACATAAGACCTGTGACATATAGCATTGTGGAAGTAGAAAGTCTTGCCAAAACTGAACGAAGCAGGTCTAATTGACCATGTACAAGTTGTTCAACTACCTTAGGAAAAAAAATAATCTTGATTGAATGAACTGTTTGATTCTCAGCGACTACTTGCATGAAAACTAAAATGAAAGTACGATCAATCAATGAACTTCAGGACTGTCAGCACACCCACCAAAGGCATTAAAATATGTCAGACCTCGCCTTACATTATACACAAGTGGGCAAAGTGGCTGTCTGAGTACTTAACTAAGTTAGATGATTTACCTTCCTAACAACACAGCATTGCTTTGACAGTCACTCGCTGCACGACCACATCCCCTAAGCCGATCTATATCCATCTGACACGGCAGAATGCAATATCCAATTAAGTTTTCACAAGAGACTCCTGGCTAGTTCACATGACGGATTCCCCCTGTGAGGAGGATATGAGCAATTACTTTGCGCATTGCCTGCTTTAACAACTAACAAGCAAGCAACTTTAACAACAGGCAAGGAAAGGATGACCAAAAGTAGTTTTGTTGTTGTATTTTTAACGTCGTAAACATTTTTTTTTAACAATTACACATTAATAAGAGGGCTTGCAGTGTTGTCTACAGTTCATTTATTCTTTTAATGAATATGTAGAAACCTATTAGCCTTCCTCTTTCAATCAAATGTTCCTCTTTTACTGGCATTTTTTCAGATAAATCCTAAGATGCACATGTTTTAAATGGCTCTGAGTCTCCCTTCATGATTTTATTATTAATTTTAGAAATTGACTTACAAGTTGTTGTCCTATTTAGTACTTTAGATTATTATATTACAAGACATTGTCTTGCTTTTGCATATATTTTTGTTGTTACCCATCTAATAACATGTACAGCACTTGGGTCAACTCAGGTTCCTTCAAACATGTAACATAAAGAAATTGTCTTATGTATTCCTGTCACAATCTTGTCTCATCTATTCACATAGACAGGTATGTAGACAGAGGAATTCATTGATACCCTCGGGGAAATTGCAGTGTTGCAGCAGTAGTTCACATTTTTCAAAAACCCACAATGAAAACACCGTTTAAAATAGATGTACTTGATAAAAAAGCTTTGTCTACTCGCCTGTTTTGTTATTGGGCCCTAGAGATTTTTTTATTTGTATTTTTTTCCCTACATGCTGCAATGCTCGCCTTTACCTTTAATATAAACTGTGAACTCTTTGGAAATCCCATTGTCTTCATACTGACAAGGTTTATAACTACTTTTCAACAATTACATAACTATTCAAAGTTACACAGTTTCCTTTTATAACGTCACAAACATCCTCCAATAAATGGCACATTTATTTCAAGAATTTCACATTAGTTTTCAGGGACCAAAACGCTGATATGAACAGCTAACTAGCTCTGAAGCAGGATAATCTCATTAGCACATGGTTGAGAAATGATGAGCGCTCAACTGTTACCGGCCTGCCTCAGCAGCTAGCGGCTAACTCAGCTAACAAGGCTAATAACGGCTAACAGGGTGAACGAAATTTGTTAAATCAGCCTGGATTAAGCCAGACTGACAGATGAACTCGCTGTTAGCTGATAAATGGATGTGACACACTTACAGTGCGGTTAATATCGCTGATACGTTCAGAGGCTTCCTCCGCAGACTCCGGTCCCGGGGGTTGTATCTATGGTTGAACCGGCTCTCCGGCTGACCTCAGCTGCTGCCGACTGAAGGACTCCAGCACGAGCAGCAGCACGCATGCGCAGTGTGGTGTTATGATGTTGTGGACTTTCTGCGCCCCCGCTCGATGTTGTCAAGTATCACAGTCTTCTGTGGTCATGCTCCCTTTAAAAGGTTTTCCATGTTCAGTTAAACCTTTAATTATTCAAACAAAAGCCAGTGTTTTTGTTTGTTTTTTTTCAATTTCGCGATCAGGTTTCTTTTAGCTGTGGATGAAATAAACAAGCCACAAAATACGCTCCTTGTGTGAGAGAAATTAAAAGTTTACCTACTGGTGAAATGAAAATTCAGTTTAATAACACTGTAATAACTAATTTGGGACTTAAATGTAGATATTAATAGGGGAGCGTTATTCTTAGTTATAAATATTGAAAGAAATTATGTGTTAATTTTAAGAGCCTTACAGAAGCACATTTCCACTCAGAGAGAAGAAAAATGGAAGATTAAAATAGACTGTCATAGACTGTATGTGAAAATAATTATATGATACTATTAAACCATGTTTTTCTTTTAAAGTCAAAGATATGAAATTAAGAAAGTGAAAGTGCGCACTGTGATCTGTAAGTCAAAAATATTTAGTTCTGGAAGAAGCACAAGTCCGATTTCTGATCTACATTACATAACTTTGGCTTAACATATAGCTTTTTGGACCAATATATACTAATTAAAAACTGTCTTGTGTAATAATTATGACTTATTGAGTTTTAAATTGTTAACATTTATCTGCCTATTTATCACCTTGGCTATTTATTAGATAACTTGTATTTTAAGTCACTGAACACCGAATAAACATGTAAAATAGACTTCTGGTCATAGGCTGTATGCAAAATAATTTTATGATGCTATAGCTTCTCATGTAATACTTATGACTTTAATAGTTGCTATTTTTTTCAAAAATAAAACTTTTGACTGCTTATTTGAAACTCTGATAAGGTCATAAGGTCAATCATCTATATTCTGAGGTGGCAGGATTATGGACAAATCAGACTTTTGATCTACATGTCATAATTTTGACTTAGCAATGTCTTTTTAAATTTAAAAGTTAATGTTTTCACATCTAATCTTAAACTTCAAGACAGCTGAGGTGTCAAACTGTCAATATTTTGCTTATTATCTGCCACCTTTGACTCTATTGCATAACTTGTGTTTTAAAATGTCAAATCTTATTACATTTTATTTACATTCTTTTAATACATCGTTACTTTAAAAAGCCAACTTGTGACTTGTCATCCCATTGTTAAAAATGATATTGTATTCACCTTGAACTTTGAATCTCAAAGTTAAATTACTAACTATTTTAGATTTTTTACTTAGTAGGTCAGTTGTTTTTTTTTTCAACTTATTGTGCACCAACTACATCAAAACTAGCAGCAGTTGTGTCGAGGTGCTTTCCTCCTGGAAAAATAGGAATTGCATTATGAAATAACCCCCCAAAAATCTGCAACTATAATAACTATATTATAATATAAAGTCTCTATATAAAACTATAGTATTCTTGATAGTGAAACTAACTCATTTTCAAATTTTCAAAAACATACACGACAACCCATCAAATAAAAGATTTCACTGGATCCTATATGAGCAAGCTTTTATTGATTATTTTAGTTTTTATGTTTTTCATTTTGTGTTTCATATATTATCTCACAAAACATATTCTGATTGTCTGGGATGAACTGGTTTCATTTATTTGTCTGTGTCACCTTTACAAAACCCGCTAGATGGCGCTTGGGATGGGTTTACTGCATATTATGTTTAATTATCATCAGGTGACCCTATTTTCACATTTTACAGCCCACTCCTTCTCAATTAAAGTCCATCGTGATGACTTTGCAGATGTTATTATGGCGAGTCCATAGAAAACACACATGCAAAACATCTGCACGTTTTGTTATGTAACACGTTAATGACCCATTTGTAACGCAGGATAAATAATATTTATTCACACTGGGCTCATTGTGACACTTATACAGATGTATACGTGCTAAAGTTTAAAGAGATTAAAAATCAGATGTAGTGTTTAGTAGGAAGGGAGGGTTTATGTGGGGTTGTTTTTTTTTTTTTTTTTTTACCCGGAAAAGGGGCGGAGACAGCTGTAACGTTAGCAACCACGCTGAGCGGCTGAAACGGTTAATGTGAAGGATTGTCCTCTGAATTATGTCTCCAAATACTCTCTGAATCTCTGCTTTTGAGACGTCAAGCCCAGTGGGATCTACCAGAGAAGCGGCATTTCTTCTTATCGAGCAGGTAAGCACACGCGTGGAGGTTATTTTCGGGTGCCTGCTAGCTGCTGCTGACTCCGGTGTAGTCACTGTGGGATCGTCGCTGATCGTGTAGCGTTAGCTGGTTAGCATTAGCTAGCATCTTACCAGTGAGATGGTTATCGGCAGCGAAAACATCTCACCCCGGGATTAGTTTGTGTGGCTAAAAACGTCCGCCGCCTGCTTGTCTGCATTGTTCGGAGCGTTTTGGCTGGCTCGCAAAGTGAAACGGTAATTGGATGATGAATTATTGCCAACAGGCTAATGCTAACAGTTAAAGATGGCTAGTCAGGCTGTGACGCTGTCAACGCCTCGCCTGGTTTTGACAGCTCAATTTGAGGAACAGCGGACAAGGCCAAGGCCCACACACGTCTGTAATGTGCGCTGTGTTTATTTACAACACATTAAGCTGGCTACTTAGCTGAAACCCTGCTCAAAAAGAGTTATTTGTTAGTTTGCAAAAAAATGGCACCCTACATCTAGCTAACATTGGCTGCCAGGTAACGTAGCTACGTTTTCACATATTGGCTAATGTTACCTTTTTTTTGGTTTATAGTCTGCTTGCTAAACTATGCTAATAAAGTACATTTCCTTCAGTTACTTTGTGGCCCTCACCATCAGTGTGTTACTGTTTATCATGTGAGTTCACTAAGGATATGTGGCAGCCAGCATAGGCTGCGTTTGCACTGGCTGGCTCGGGTCAACGCCCCACCCCGACGGTGGGACCTCCTTTGTGCAGGTTTTTAATATCCTGGGGTGTCATTATTTGAAGACGGTGAGAGTGTGAGGATGGGATGTGATGGTGAAAAGAATCAGCTCAGATCTTCCTTCTATCGCTCGAGGCTTGACTATTGAAACCACCGGCTAATTACATTTTCCTGGTGTCTACTACAAACAGTCAGAGTCACTGTTGACTGTTTGTCTCACTTGACCTTTTGAACGGATTCACCCAAAGTTCAGGCCAATTATGGGAGCCTGGCCAGATAAATAGAAGTGTAGTTGGCCTTGTCTCTTATCTGTTTGTTTATTTGTATGGAAATACAGGATTATTTTGTGAACCAGCGTGATAACTGATTATTAAACAGACTTGGAGATAGTATTAATGAGGTGAGGAAGCAGGCGTATTGACTTTTACAAGACTGGACATGAACTTAATTGAACATCTGCTGCTTCGTCCTGTGTTTATGACCTGTTGTTGGGATCCAGGATGCAACTTCATCTATGCATTAAAGAGTAATTTTATTGACCTGTGGCTGCAAACAAGCAGCACTCATAGACTCAAGCATAAAATGAAATAAAAATGTTAACCGCGAACACAGCTGTGTCTCGTGTGTTTTCGCAAGGGCAGTTTGAAACAATGCAATTAGCAGATCACAAAGGCTGCAACTTAGGATATAGGAGGAGTATATCCTAATGCTGTAATTCCCTTTTAGTTCGTTTAAACAGGTTGAAGCAGTCAGCCATTGTTTACTGTTGCCACTTGGTCAATGTAAACTATGTGGTTGAGGCATGCATGTTGTGGTTTAACTGACACAAGCCCAGGCTCACTACTGAATAGCCACACCTTGTACATATTGCAACACATGCAGCATGTACAAAGTGCACATATTTCAGTACGTGATTGTAGTTTTACAAATGAAATCCTGCGATAATGCTCTTACACATGTTTTGTATCCACTGCACTGTGAACAATGAACTGACTTTAACAAAAAAAAACATCCCAAATCACTATATTTATCAGGAAAATCACAGTAAAAGATTCGCCCCAAATCATTCAGCCTCAGGTATTCCTCATACATTTGCACCTGTGAGGTGTTTTATATGCTTGTTGGCAAGCCAAAGCCGTGCATCCTAGGTTTAATGAAGTAGTGCGTGCTGTGACGCTCCAGGCAGTAAGTTTTTACCACTGTTAGTGTGATTTACATGTGCTGAAATCCAACTGGTTTCTGCTGTCATCATGCCATGAACGCTCCCTGAAAACTTGAATGTCAATGTCTAACCTCTTGCAAAAAAAAAAACACAGTTTGCAGCCTTGATAGGAGCAAAAGTGGTAAAATGTTTCATTATCTGGTGTCTTGTAGGTGAGACACACATTGCCATTACAGTTTTTAGGTCTTATCGGTTAGAGAAGGAGATAACGTTAAAATCACTATGATCAATCTTTTTATTCTTTCTTCATTTTGAATAATACAGACAAAGAGTGAAACACTTGCAGCTGCAGTCACTCCTTGACTACGCTAGCCGATTGATAAAACGCACTATCATCATTTGTGTTACACCGTAGTAACTCCTATTGTTTTCTTTCCTGTTTTTGTTTACTTCAGTAAATGTTCACATATTCTTCAAAAAGATGCTTTGTTTTTTGTTAGATATCTCTTTTCCTTGAGAGGATGTGTCTTAAAGCCACTGCCCAAACATCGCTGGTTTGTCACTTCAAAGAAGTCCTGCTCACACGAGGCTAGTTTTTAGTTTTATGATGCAACAGTTCTTCAAATACAGATCTCTTGATAGACAGACCCTGTGTAATCCATTTCCTCCGGGCGCTCTGAGTCAGCGCAGGGGCCTTGCTATGCTTGTGGGGATTGGATGAGATTGTGGCCTTGTCACGTAGCCAGATAATAGAAAGTTCCAGTGGTTTCTTCTCATCCCACTGCAGGAAGCTTGTGTCTTGTCAGTTTGCAAATATGCTGAAAAATAGCGCAGGAGTTTTTTTTATCA